CCCCGCCCACGCGGCCTCGTTGCCGCACCGACGCCGTGCCTGGAGGGTCCTTTCTCCGAGACGGGAGGAGGAGTGCGCACTGTCTAGTGTTTGGGTTTTATTGAGACGTAATTTTCCGCTTTTCATAGAACTCGGGCTCCCGAACTCCCCCAGAGACCTGTGCTCCAGGGCACCTCCTCACATTCCCGCCAACCCCAGCGTCCCCGTCCACTGGGCCACATCGCACACCCTTTCCTTCCAGAGCTCCGGTTCCTCAGACACCAAGCACAACCCAGCTTTTTGAACTCCTCCTATGTAGTGGGCTCGCATTGAAAACAAACCACGTTCCCTTAGTCACTGCCCTCCAACCCCAGTCAAGTGGGTTCAGGTTCAAAGACTAAAATCCTTGGTTTTTCCAAAGAGGGGGCAGAGGAACGCATACAGGGAAATGACAGGATTTAAGCACCAGCTGCCAAACTGGAAGTAGACCCTTCCCAATTCCACACCGAAAACAAGAGAAAAGCATTCCTTCTTTCCACCAGAAGAGGCAAACGGATGCCTTCACTGATACCACAGAATCATCATATACCAGGCTGGAAGGGACCTCAAGGATCATCTGGTCCAATCTTGAGATGCGAGGGCAATCTGGCTGCAACATCTGTCGCCCCACGGATCGCCAGGGTTGATTTGGCTGATCTGGCTGGCGAGGGGGGTGTCCCCTTCCTCCCTATCCACTGCATGTGCATCGCTCCCGAAGCTGCACGATCAGTCGATGAGGACGACCTTCCCCGGTAGACATGCACCATTCATTAGTCAAGCTTATAGGGTAGCTGCACTCCCCTCCTAGAACCTCCAAACAACTGATATTTAAAAACAGTTTTCAATTTCAGATGCAAAGTCCCCTCTCTCAAAAAAAAAAAACAACCAACAACCCAACAAAACCAGTTAAAATCTGACTTGGTGCACTGTTAGATTTCTCCTAAAACCCTTCGGAATTTTATTCCCAGTAGACAGAAGAAGACAACAGCAGCAGAGAAAAAGTCCCCAATGGTTCTTGGCATCCCTACACAGCAATGTAAGCATCTGTACAAGACTGACAGTAACAGCAGAGAAAAGGTCGGGAGCTAAGATTTTACGAACATACAAAAATAGAGAGCAAAGCCTCAGGAACTGATGCACTTGTGAAAGGATGGATGAGCACAGGACAGGCCACCAGTCCAACCGGTCCCAGAGGGTCCAGGTGGGACTTTGGGCCCAGCAGGTACCAGATCACCGGAAAGACTCCCGTGACACTCAGTGTACACTCGGAGAGATGGATTCGGCCAGCTCCAGTCACAGTGAGGCCGGTCTTCGTATGCATTGGCGAAACAGACATTATTGGGAGTAAAATAAATAAAACCAGTGGGATAAAAGGGAAAACTATTGAGTTAAACCCAAATTATAATTTATTACAGAGTAAAAGAGTAAAATAGTCTCCAGATCTTCCACTCTCCACTAGTGATCTTCTTTTGAGCGATGACAAAGCTGAA